CAAGCGTCCCGTCTTTTTCCACAGCTTTTCAGTGGTTATAGAGGATAAAGCCAAGCGCGATGCACCAATACTGCGCATGTGCTTATCAATTAAGCGTTCGAGTTTGTCTTGGACGCGAAGTCCGAGCGGGAGAAAGTGAAATATGCCGGAATGTGCCTGTCGCAAGTATCCTGTTCGTAACAGGAGGGCATGAATTTCATCGGGTTGGCCATCTTTGTTCTGTGCTATTCCCCCACTTGGAATAAAAAAGTTGGAGATTCGCGAGCGGTGGTCAATCTAGGAATTGTGCCGTTAATTACAGCTCAGAGGTCTCCCGATGGGCCAGAGGTTTTACGGTGAGGTTTCGAGTGGATCGTCTGCTGAAAACGGAGTGGCTACAGGCTGGACAGCGAAATGCCCTAGTGGCGGATCTCAATGCAAGTTGTGACATCGTGCTTTGCGATTTGCGAGCTCCGTTTGTGGGGTGTTTTCAGATGCTATGGGTACTGACGTTCCCCGCGCCAAGTGATTGCGGCTGATGTGCCACGCCATATCACTCGTTTACTCAATTCTCTCAATTGTGAGTTGTTTGTTCGCAAGAACGACAGAAAACTGGCCAACGAAAGCTACGGAATATAACACTTGCATGATTTGCTTATCAGGAGGGGGAAAGCGGGGTTGCAACAGCGAAGCCGTGGACATTGTACAGTCGTAGAACTGCGCGCCACCGGCGTAATAATTATCCCTGCACCAAGAAGCGCGAAAATTTGGAGGCGGTCCCTGCGCATTCGAAACACTCGGGCATAGCAGTGGGGGAGGGAATATCAACATCCTTTTCTTTCCCAGTTTCGATCTACGATCTCGTCTATTTAGGACCGTGCGGTATGGCGAAGAAGCACAACTCCAAACCGGATGGAGCTACACCAGCAGCACCGGGCGGTGACGGAGTGCCTGTCTTCTCTGCCGACGCCTTGAGCAAACTTACGCAGCGCATCCAGACCGGCTTCGATAAGAATAATGACAAGGGCGCGCAGAAGAAGAGTGGAAAGAAAGACAAGAAGCAGGCGAAGGCAAAAGAACCACAGTCAGATCGCAAACCTCCAGCCGCAAAGCCTGTCGTTTCTAAACCCGTCGTTGCTAAACCTGTCGTTGCCAAACCTGTGGTTCTTACCGGCAAGCCCGATAAGAGTCGCAACGAAAAGCACAAATCAAAGAACCATTCGGAGTTTGCGGCGCAACCTGCGCAACGTGGAAAGAATAACGGGCGACTCGATATTCGCGATAAACCGCAGAGGACATTCCCAGTAGCTTTGCCGCAGCAAAAGAATTCCAAGCGTGCAGATTCGCGACCGGCCACCAATGGCACAAGCAAGCCCACTGTATCATTGCCTAGAAAGACAGGAACAAACCGTATTGATAAAGAGGCACTACTCAAGGAAATTGTCGAACTGGGCGGCACCAAAGAAGATTTGGACCTTGTTGCTGGGATTGAGTCAGACGATGAGGGCGAGGAAGTTGTGGTCAAGGATTCTGGTAAAGTCAATGCCGTGAAGGCGAAAGACATTGAGGCTTTCATGAAAGGAATTGGCCTGGAGGCTGGTAAAGTTGGCGATATTGAGGAAAGCGAGGAAGAGGATGAGGACGAGGACGAGGATGAGGAAGAGGACGAAGAAGAAGGGGAAGAGGAAAGCGCAGATGATGGAGACGAAAGTTTAGGTGAGGATGACGACGATGAAGATGAAGAAGAAGATGTTGAAATGGAAGATTTCGCACCGCTACCTCCCAGAGACCCTAAGGGTGGGAAGTTAGTAAGTAACCTTTCCGTGTCAAAACAAGCTTCTGCTAACTTTACTAGTTATTTCCTAAAAGACCTGATTGGCATGCTGAACCACTTCCTCCCCTACCACTGCAGGAGGAAGAGCCCTCTGCCCAGGTTGTTCACAAGTTACATAGTCGTGGTAAAGCGCTGCTTAAGGAGGAGAATGAGATCTATAGTGCGACTCATCTTGTCAAATCTTCTGACAGGCAATTCTTGAGTCAAATTATGCAAAGCGGAACTTTATCAGATAAGATTTCTGCCCTTACGTTGGTGTGTCAAGAGTCACCTCTTCATACGATGAAGACGCTTGAGAATTTGCTCGGTTTGGCAAGAAAGAAGTCAAGGTCTCAGACTGTCCAAGCCCTCGCTGCGATCAAGGATTTGTTTGCGCAGGGAGTTTGTCTTCCACCGAACCGGAAACTGAGGTACTTTGCTAAGCAGCCTGGACTGGGAGCTAAGGGTACCAGAGATATCCATTTGGTGGCCTGGGCTTACGAGGACTGGCTTAAGCACTTTTATTTTGAAGTTCTGAAGACCCTCGAACAGCTTTGCACGGACCAATTGGTTTATGCTAGGAATCACGCAGTGGGCTACGTCTACGAAATGTTGAAGGAGAAGCCTGAACAGGAAGCAAATCTACTGAGAGTTCTGGTCAATAAGCTCGGTGATACCGATAAGAAAATTACTTCAAAGGTCTCATTCTTGCTACTTCAGCTACAGAATGCCCATCCAGCAATGAAGAATATCATTATCAATGCTATCGAACAGGAAGTTATATTCCGTTCTGGTAACAGTATACACGCTCAATACTACGCTATAATTACATTGAATCAGACTGTTCTAAGTAAAAGCGATTATGACGTTGCAAACAAACTGTTGGACATTTACTTTTCAGTCTTTGCTCCCCTCATCAAAAGAGATGCACCAGCAACACCAGCAACTGGTGTAAATGCAACTGGAAAAGGAAAACATATCAAAATGGGAGATAAACCTGACAAGATGAACAGGAAGGCAAAAGCTCGTGCTGAAGCGGCGGAAAAGAAGACTCAGTTTGATGAAGAGGTCAACGCCAAATTGATCTCTGCAGTTTTGACTGGTGTTAATCGTGCTTTTCCATTCTCTAAGGTGGACGACGATGTGTTTGAGAAGCATATGGATACTCTTTTCCGGATTACACACAATGGAAATTTCAACACTAGCATTCAGGCACTGATGCTGATTTACCAAGTATCTAGCAGCAAACAGGTGAGAGCTATAGTCTCAGAATTTAAAGTTCAAATGGCTAACCCATCTAGACTGTTTCAGACCGTTTCTACCGGACTCTTTATGAATCCCTTCTCGATCAGCGTCTGGTCAATTCTTCTAAACAAGCCCTGTACCTCAACCTTTTGTTCCGCGCCCTCAAGGCCGATACATCTGTAAAGCGCGTTAAAGCCTTTGTCAAACGTATCTTACAAAGCGCCACTTTTCACCAGCCATCCTTCATCTGTGGTGTCCTCTACCTCCTTAGCGAGCTCGAGGTAGCTATTCCCGCCATCCGCGCTCTCTTCACCGACCCAGAGCCCAACGAAGACGACGAAGAAGAAGTCTTCCTCGACGCCCCAGACTCCGACGCCGAAGACGCTCCCGCTGCCCCGGCACCAAAGCCTACCAAAGCCCTTCCTACCTACGACGGCCGCAAGCGCGACCCGCTCCACGCCAATGCTGACCTCAGCTGCGCCTGGGAGATCCTCTCGTTCGTCAACCACTTCCACCCAACCATTGCGCTCTTCGCCACTTGCCTCCTCGAGAAGCGGCCGATGCCCAGCAAGCCTGATCTCGGCATGCACACGCTCAGCCACTTCTTGGACCGGTTTGTGTACCGTAATCCTAAAGCTGCGCCAACCACGACGCGCGGAACGTCGATCATGCAGCCGCTCGCCGGCGCGCCTAGCAGTATGGGAATGGTGTTGGCGACACGCGACAAGAAGGGCGCTGTGCCATTGAATTCAGATGCATTCTGGCGGCGCCGCGTTGAGGATGTGCGGCCCGAAGAGGTGTTTTTCCACAACTATTTCAATATGACGCAGCCAAAATCCAAGAAGCCGAAGGAAGACAACAAGCGCAAGCGTGAGGACGACGACGAAAGCGACAGTGAAGTGGAAGGCGAGGTCTGGAAGGCGTTGGTCGACAGCCGGCCGGAGCTGGAGGGCGGTGATGATGGTGGTAGTGTGGACTTTGATGACGACGACGAGGATCTGGTAATGTCCGACGATGATGATTCCGATGCTGGTCCCGACCTCGATGACGATGATGCCGAGGAGTGGAATACTGACGACGATGATGCTGCCGACTCTGACGACGAGGCCGGCGAGGAGTCTGAGCCCGTCCCTGGGGACATGGCCGCCATGTTCGAAGCACAAATCGCGAAAGCAACGGCGAAACGCGCCAAGACGCTGGCTACAGACGAGAGCGGCGACGAAGAGGCTGAGCGTGAGGTTGAGGTGCGCGAAAAGGACGGGTCACGCAAGAAGCAGAAGCTCAAGCACCTACCCACCTTCGCCAGCATGGAGGACTATGCCGACATGCTGTCCGATTCCGAGTAGAGAGGGGGGAAGGAAGGGAGGGAGAAAGAGGGCGAATGAAGATATCCCACAGAACGCATTGCAACAACACACACAATACACCAAAAGTTTCGTTTCTAATGTACTTTTTTTCTACCTTCTGTTTCTTCTTTTTATGGACTGTATGGCTTGGACGGGTATTATGCATGGGGTCCTTTTTGTAGCATATATATGTATGACTTGACGTTGGGCTTATTTGACGACGGCGGTGGTGGTAGTTGTGAATAGAATTGGATTGCAGGGGTTAATACTGTGTAGCTGGTGTGTGGAGGGGCGACAGGTTTAGATTAGGGCGTATTCATGATACTCTCTGCTTCACATGCATCGTTCTCGCCGTCGTGGGCATAGAAAGCACTCGTACATGTATGGTACACGTATTCTCTCCCCCACTACACATATCTAAAGCCTGCTGCCATCAAGAGTCACTTGCGAATGCTATCAAAAAATAATCAAAGCATATATATATAGCCCCCCACCGGTTCTCCGTAGACTCTGTAAACTCCCGTAGCCTGGTGGTGGCGATACCCAAAACGATACCTATTATATAACTAACCACCAGACGAATAAATTTCCCCCAAGCAGCAACAAAAAAAAGAATATGCTCACAAACGGATTTGAACCGTTGATCTCGTCATCACAACAACGTCCGTCATTGCCCTCACCCAGAACATTGCCGGGGGACTAGGTCGTGTAATATTACTAGTGACGCGCCTTACCAACTTGGCCATGCGAGCTGATATATCCCCAGCCCACTTTGGGGGTTTTAGTTTGCGGTTGGGTGGGATAGGTTGTATAGTGGCTGGGGAGGGGAGGCCACGGTGCGGGATGTGGGATATGGGAGTTTGGGGAGCGGTGACTGGGCGAGTGAGTGAGTGAGGGCGGGTGAGCATCATGGCCATGGAATCTTGGCGGACATCGAGAGGTAGATGTTCGGGAAGAAAGAGCTTGGTATTAACACAAACCGATTTTACCCAAAGCGTTGAGTTGTACGAGGAACGTCGAGCGCCGGATCAACCCTGCCGAGGGCTTATTTTCACGCCAAGTAGTAGCTAGAAGTGACGTGCTATGGATAATCTAGCACGCTGCCGGGGGTATGACGAACGCCATCCCAGTGAGGAATATCAGTAGTAGGCTGGTAGCCAGTGAATTCATCCGCTACCAACTAACAAGCCTTTATTTGGAACCAGGATGCTGGATGGCGGTGAATTGTGTATCGTACTCTGCAATAATGGCTTTAACCGACCAACTAAACATGGCGGTTATTGGACTGTAAGTGGTATTCGTCCCACGGGTGCCTGCTGTTCGTCATACCTCGGAAGCGAAATTGATATATCTACTTGCCACGGAAAACAAAAGTACGAGTACTGTGACATGAATGAAGGATCTGAATAGCGGCACTGCTCGCTGTATACTAACAAATTCTGTAACACCACGGAGTAATTAGAGGTTAGTAGAAGCCTTTCTTGCATGTTCCAATCTTTGGCGCGGGATACCGTATCTCGGAGCGTCGGTATATCAGGTTTTGCACATGAAATCGCAGGCTCGAAACTACTTCCTACCAGGTAAGCATCCATGCGATCCTAGGTTTGTTGGATGTAGTTAAAACAGGCCATTGAACACGCTATCTGCCCACCAGATCAACATCATCTTGCGCTCGCCGATTGCACCACAGGGCCCTGTAATTGTGAAATCAAGTTAGGTATGTAGTTAGATGGACCAGTCGAAATAAGCAAAGGGAGGCCCAATCGATATCCCGAATATGTGACCCCAGAGACAACCCACCGGGATAGCATGCTTCTGCTACCTATCCTATCAGCACTCTTGTAGACAGATATCATGATATCGTGATAGTGGGGATTGTCAACAGAGCCACATGGGAATACATAATAGAAGGGCGGTAAGAGTCTTCCTTGCAGCCCGCCGCAAGGCTTGATCAGTGCAGTTGCATCATGCAGCCGCCATATAAGGCGAAGATCACCGCAACCCAACGTCGGTGCCAGTAAAGGCCGGCCGGGCATGGACATGGGTGCCGCAAACTATTAGTAGCCGCCTTCCGGATGGGTGTTGCGCTTCCATGGTTCTGCGGGCGGGGCTTATGTAACGTGTTTACGACAGGACACTGCTGCTGAACTCAATTTGCTGGAGTAACTACTGTTTCTTGTTACCCCCACTTCCCGGGTTGCATACGAACTTCTTCTTGTTCTTGTTGGAATTAGAAGGTGTTTATCTGGTACGCTTCCCATCAAGCAATACAAATATCCCGCCCCGCGCTCTGGTTCCAGCTCCAGCTCCAGCTCCAATTTCGTCACCCTCCTCCGGCCGCATTACCCCGACCGACCGCCCCCTCCCCACCGCCGTTCACCACATGCTGGCGACCCGACAAGACTCCAACGACCTGTGGCACCAGCAAAAGCGCACCATCCGCGCCGTCAAATGGCGCGAACCTACTCCGACGCCGGCGACGCCGAGCAGGACATGAATGGCAAGCCCGCCGCGCAGCTGATGACGCCCGACTCCGGCAGCATGACGGTCGAGGAGCAGAAGGCGCTCGAGCAGTCGCACGACATCAAGTACCGCACCTGCAGCTGGCAGAAGACTGCCGCACTGCTGTTTAGCGAGTACATCTGTCTGGCCATCATGAGCTTCCCGTGGAGCTACTCGGTGCTGGGCCTGGTCCCGGGGCTGATCCTGACCGTGGCGGTCGCGGGGAGCGTGCTGTACACCAGCTTGGTGCTGTGGCGGTACTGCCTGCGGCATCCGGAGGTCAAAGACGTGTGTGATAGTAAGTGCAGCCGAGAGAAAGGGCCAATTGGCCAGGCGCTGACAAGGCGCGCAAAGTTGGGCAGAAGCTGTTTTGGGGGAAGCGCTGGGCGTGGTATGCCACCGCAGTGTGCTTTCTGTTAAACAATACGTTCATTCAGGCGTTGCACTGTCTTGTGGGCGCAAAATATCTGGTATATAGCTTGCTCCTGTGGCAGGGCGCGGCCGACTGATGATGGTGGGGCAGAATACCATGAGCGGACACAGCATCTGCACTGTTGCGTTTTCGGCCATTATTGCGGTTATCTCGTTCGTGCTCTCGATCCCACGGACGTTTTCGTCCCTGGCACATGCGGCCACCTTTTCCGCCGTGACCATGTTCATAGCGGTGGTGCTGGCAATGGGATTTGCGGGCTCTGAGAACCACCCGGCTGGATACACCGAGGGCACGCCGGTGCACTGGAATCTGTGGCCGGCAAAGGGCACCAGCTACGTCCTGGGAATGTCAGCGTTCCTGAACATATCCTACACCTTCATTGGGCAGATCACGATCCCGTCGTTCATCGCCGAAATGGAGAACCCGAAGGAGTTCCCGCGCGCGCTGTGGGCCGTCACCATCTGCGAGATCATCGTCTTCTCGCTCGCCGGCAGCATCATGTACGTGTACTCGGGCAACAACTACGTGACGGCGCCGGCCTTCTCGTCGATCGGCTTCCATGGCACGCTGGGCACCAAGATCGCGTTCACGTTCGCCTTCCCGACCATCATCTTCCTGGGCGTGCTCTACGCGTCCGTGTCAGCGCGCTTCCTGTTCTTCCGGCTTTTCCGCGGCAGCCGCCACGTGCACTCTAACACGACGGCCGGCTGGGCGGGCTGGGCGGCGATATTGGCGGTGACGTGGGTGCTGGCGTTCATCATCGCCGAGGTCATCCCGTTCTTCTCCGACCTGCTGTCGCTGATGAGCGCGCTGTTCGACAGCTTCTTTGGCTTCATCTTCTGGGGCGTGGCGTGGTTCCGGCTGCGCGAGGAGCGCGTCGTGAAGGGGCGGTGGGATAGTGTTGAGTGGGCGCTGAACGTGTTCCTCATCGCCGTCGGCGTCTACTTTTTGACGGCCGGCACGTACTCGACCGTGCAGAGCATCATCGACAACTACAAACTTGCCGCGTATGGGGGCGTGTTCAGCTGTCTGGACAACTCGTAGGAGTAGGTAGGCAGGTGACCGGCGGTGCAGCTGTTGGCGCCGAACTCATGTGCGAGTACATAATAGTGTATTTAGAGTAGATAATGCTTTTTCTGTAGCAAAATAGGTTATGCATGAGTATCTGCACCAATCCACGTCCCTCGCACAACTGCCGAACACGAACACGAGCGCGAGCGCGAGCACCGTTGTGTCGTCGTCGTCGTCGTTGTTGGTGTTGGTGTAGCCTGCATGCATGCATAACTAACTCTAACCAACCAACGCCAAGTCCCACTCCAGCTTTATCTCCCATCCATCCCCTCCCCATCCCCCGTGATTCCACCACCTCCACAACCCCAAAAATGTCTCCACCCGCCAAATCCACAAAAAACCCAGGTCAGTACCTTTACCCCGCTGCAGCGCGCCACTAACACCCGCAGACCTCACCGCCTCCCTAGCCACCCTAAACCTAACACCCGCATCCAAGCCCCGCCCACCGCCAATCGCGGACAGCTGGGAAGACGACCTCTCATCCGACGACGAAGCCTCCACCTCCGCCTCCACCGCGCCCCACACTCCCTCCGACCCACCGCAGCCCCCGCCGCCGACGCCCACCACGCCGACGGCCTCGAGAGCGTCCACCCCCGCCTCCACACCGTCAGCGCATACCCGCACCAGCAGCGCCTCCTCCCCCGCCGCGCGCGTCGCAAGCCCACACACGCGTACATCAAGTACGGGGGAGAGGGAGCGGCCGGCGACGACGGACGCCGTGGCGCGGCGCATGATCAGTGCTGCGCTCGGCGTGCGCGCGCCGCGCTCGACGGCCGAGCAGCGGGAGTTTGATAAGGCGGTCAGAGAGAAGGAGGGGAGGAGGAGGCGCGAGGAGGCGGAAAGGAGACGGGAGGCGGAGAGGGTGCAGGAGGAGGAGAGGAGGCGGGTTTGGGAAGATTAGAGGGGGAGGTACTTGGGGAGACGGTGGGTTTTTGGGGCGGTAGATGATGAGACCGGGAGTTTGGATGGTGTTTTTCGGATTGTTTTGGGGAGGGATATATATGGGTATTCAGATGTGTTTTTGTGTAGCAATGATGGGCTCAGTCTTTGGTGTTGGTTGGTGTATAGCCTAATTTCTGTCCGATGTATAATGTGCCGCCTGTGCCACTGCCACCAACAATTTCCACTATTTTCTAGACATCTCGAGCGGTTGGAAGTGTGTCGGTGAAAAAGGTGAGGTGAGTAAGCTGTACTTGTGTACCGTACCTGTCTGACATGTAGATCCGCCAGCCCCACCTCATCTCAGCCCCTCAACCAGGCATCAGGATATATGTACCACCCCACCACCCCATCTCATCTCAGCAGCTCCATCGGCCCTCACGCCACCCCATCCCCAATCCCCATCCCCACCTCTCCCCCATAACCTCCCTAGCTCCTCTCCCTCTTCCCCCACAGCTCCCTCTCCCTAGCTCCCTCCCTATCCAATCTCTCGCCCCCCACCATGGCCACCCCAACCTTCCGATTCCAACTCCTCTCCGACCTCCACCTCGAATCGCCCCGGTCCTATTCCACCTACACCTTCGCCGCCACGGCACCCAACCTCGTGCTCGCGGGCGACATCGGCAACACGCGCGACGCCGGCTTCTTCACCTTCATCCACACCCAGCTGTCACGCTTCGAGCGCGTCTTCCTGGTCCTCGGCAACCACGAGCCGTACCACTCGTCGTGGCCCGACGCCGAGGCGGCCGTGTTCCAGTTCGCCGCGTCGCTGAAACACCCTTCAAACTCCACTACCACCTCTGCCGC